TTATCTAGGAGGAATTAAACAATTAACCGATTGGATTGTTCTCTAATACGCATGGAAGGCAGCGTCCCGTGCAAAATACGGGTAAAACGCTATTATTGTATAAAATACGCATTAAATGCATATTAAATATTAGGAGGTCTCGGAGCTTATAATGTAGACGGTGTCCAAACGATACGTATCTGATACTGATATTTTGGCCTTTAGAGCAGTCGTCGGGAAAAAGTGTAATGATGTTGCAGAACGAATAGAACTACTTCCACCATCTCCCTCCCTCATAAAATTCGTTCAAGCTCCGAAATTTCTTGTGCATAAAACATTTTTCATGAATTTGGCACCATAAACAAAGCATGAGAGAAATTTATGAAAATTCAGTTAAAATTCTATGGCTCCTGACATGAAGAAACAATTTTTTTTCTGATTTTCCTTGAATTGCTAGGACGTACCCTGGTAAAAATTGGCGGTAGAATCTGTGTTCCAAAATACCATAGACCTACAGCCGGCTGTAAGATTTCCAATAGCTTCTATAGCCGGCAACACAATTTCTTATAGCCTTTTATCCGATGGCGATTAAGCAACAGTCTGGCGATAAAGTATATGCTAAACGTTACTAATTACGGATGCTAGGACTCAGTGAGTTTTTGGACTACCGCTCTCTTTTTGGGCCGTGGTATCTTGATTTATTTTGCGAGGAAAGCTCCGTACTTTTGAAGGATGCCTGCCATTCCTGATATGTTGGAGCGCCTTCAATTTCGTATGATACTGTGCAATACCTCTGGTGTGAAATAGTTGCTTCAAGCGCCGTGGTACACTGCGGCGCGGCGCGGTGGGCGGGCAGCCAGCGTGGAACGCGCATTGGCGCCTACAAACCTAACAGGGATACTTCACGCATTGCGCAATGCGTGAAGTATCCCCGTTAGGTTTGTAGGCGCCAGTGCGCCGCCGCTCCGCTTTGTGTTAGGCTCTAATATTTAATCTCGAGGAGTCAGCGTTTTTCAACTCATGACTTTCAAATGTTTGCACTCTCTGTATGGATTATTCTCATTTTAATTGATGACAAAAAAAGGTAGTAAAGGAAAATATAATGTGCGCTTTGTAAATATTAAGGTGATTCCGTACAAACTTAGGGATTTACAAAGCACACGAATTTCTACACAGTTTCTTGCAGCCTTTTATAGGCGATGGCGAAAAAGCAACAGCCAGGTGATAAAGTGCAAAGCCCGGCGATAGGAACTATAGCCCGGCTGTATAATTTTTTATCGTTTCGTGTAGCCCCGCCGTATGATTTTTTCCACTTTCTACAGCCAGCTATATGATTTCCTATCGCCTTCTTCAGTCGGCTATAAGAACTCCTATGGTATTTTGAAACGCAGCTCCTATCGCCAATTTTTACCAGGGTACATTCTCATCTATACTTACTGGTATTTAGGAGAAAGTTAGGTATCCACTAATGAACTTGGAAGAAATAAGGAGGTTTGAGTCTAAATTAGGTACGGCCAGTTAAGTAAGTATTTGGGGAAGACAAAAATGAGAGTCAAACTCTGCGTTACAAGAATGTCAAATTTTTTCAAAATTTGAAAGATTTGATCCCTTAATCTCGAACAAGGAGTGTATTTTTTTTACATTAGCCAGCCCATCATGGAAAAAAAGGAAGGCATCAATAGTTTGTGGAAAAGGAGATGTATCAAATATATCATTGGGTTTACTTGAAAAAATGTTTTACTTAATTACAAAATTTACAGCTGAGATATACAGTTGAATTGACACACATTTAAATAATTACAATGTATTGCTGAAAAGCAGTACCTAGTTAACGTTCAGTGTAAGAGCTGAGCTACACCAGACGGATAAAGTTTGACTTTCTGCAAGTCAAATAGATATTTAAAACAGAAGTAAATTTTTAGAATTTTGGTAATGTTGACTGACATAGGAAACATATTCTAGCACTAAGCGAACGCTCAATGGGGGTTGAGTAGAAAGTTACGTCATTTTGATAATTCGTGTTCCGGGATAGGGCCTATCTCACGCTTCAAAAGTATCAACAAAGCTATAGAGGGGGCTGAATAAGAATCTGAAATTCAGCGTTACGCATTTTATGAACTGCTCCTAATAGAAGATTAGTATTTTAATTCAACCATGGTTTCGTGAACTAAACCTCGTGGGAAAGAGATCAATGAAGTTGGGGACAGGCATAGTGAAGGCACATTGTATCTTTCTTCTGAAATGGCTGAACAACATAACAGTTCTTCTAAACAAAAGGGTATCCCTGGGTAAGGGCACCAAAATGCCCCTCCTCACGGATTTTGAATTTAATGGTCTAAACCCGTTCAGGAGGTCCTAAAAACATGGTTTTGGGCAATTTTACCCTCCTGACCCCAACCACCCCCCCTCCAGCCACGAAAAACCCATTTTTCGGGGAATTTTGGGGTATTTTCACGTTTTATTTCATATCTCCCGCAATTTTCGATAAAAATGCACCAAAATTTCACCAATTACACATCAGACCAGTCAGATTCTTGGGTAAAAAAATCAAATTTATCGTACCTTATTTAGGCCCCTA